GACAGAGGTGGTTGGAGGGGGGGGGGGGGGGGGGGGGGGGGAAGTGAACAATACACTTACCATCACCAAATCCATTGTATCCGTCACCACCCCCAAAGCTTCCTCTGCTCCCACCACCGCCACCACCACCCCCATAGCCTCCTGGAACACAGAACAGATGAGAGTGTTTTCCTGAAGACAAGTGTTAAGTGTTTAATCCAACTGACACAGGAAATAAAAAACCAGATATCACATTCTATATAAACATTCCAGTCATTTACCTCTTCCGCCAAAGTTTCCTCCTCGGCCAAAGTTCCCTCCACCGCCTCCAAAGTTTCCACGACCCATGAAGTTGCCGGAGCCACCCCCACGACCTACAAAATATTTTACTTAAATTACATTAGTTGAACACCAGTTACGTAAAGTAACCATGCACAACTCCAAACTCACCTCTCTGAGAGCTAGCAGTCTGCATCTCTTGTTTTGAGAGTGCTTTTTTCACTTCACAGTTATGTCCGTTTATAGTATGGTATTTCTGAACTAGAGAAAATTGTGAAATCAGAGTTAGAAATATCAGGTCATTGAAAGCAATATGCTGCAAAACTCTCATAGAAAGCTACTGTAAGACATGACCACACTTCTGAAAGGAACATTAAACCTACCCCATCTCTTACAATAGTAAAGCAGTTGATTATGCCAACATCTTACATTCCACACACTGCTGTTCTGAAATCTAACATTACACTTTTATCCCATACATAATTTCTCACTGAAGAGTTACATACCAACAATTTTATCAACTGTATCATGATCATCAAAAGTTACAAAAGCAAAGCCTCTTTTCTTTCCGCTTTGCCTATCTTCCATGACTTCTATGGTTTCAATCTTGCCATATTTTTCAAAGTACTCCCTTAAATTATATTCTTCTGTATCTTCTTTAATTCCACCAACAAATATTTTCTTTACTGTGAGATGTGCCCCAGGCTTTACAGAATCCTACAACGCCAAAAACGACATTTCAGTGGTTTATATTATTAGGTAAAGATTACGAAATAAGGTTAACTGAAACACTAACTTACCTCCCTCGAAACTGCTCTCTTTGGTTCAACCACGCGCCCATCAACCTTATGCGGTCGAGCACTCATGGCAGCATCCACCTCCTCTACACAAGAGTAAGTCACAAAGCCAAAGCCTCTGGAACGTTTTGTTTGCGGGTCTCTCATCACCTGCAAAAACATACAGGGTACTCTGCATTTCTGTTCTAGATTAAGTACCTATACCTATATCCTTCCAAAATCAGACTAACATTTGACACTTACCACACAGTCCGTGAGTGTGCCCCATTTTTCAAAGTGCTCTCTCAAGCTATCATCTGTTGTTTCAAAGCTCAGACCTCCAATGAACAGCTTTCTCAATTGCTCCGGCTCCTTTGGCTCATGGCCCTACAAAAGCAAAATTAAAAACCTATTTTGAATACAAGCCACAGAGTTAAAATTTCACAGAATTACTAAAAATTATCTGTGCACATTATAACTACAAATAGGTGGCATACATTTACATAAAAACAATGACTTCTAATGGGTTTAAGACAGCAGCATAGTAAATAAACACTTAATGAGGTGTGATTTTAATTAAACCACTAACTAACTAACAACTTAAAGAGTGCTCAAATGCAAACAACTGTAAAGAGACTTCAATATACTAAATAATCTGGTTGCTCCCCAGCCCCCCCAGAAGTGCATTCATTTTATGTCTATCTTATGTTCGAGTTGCATATTGCTCTGTAGGGATTAGCAGTGAAGCACTGCTAGATAAAGGGAAGTTCTAACACTTTATGAAGCATCATCATGAGAAACTATAAAAAATTTAAGAACATAGCGTACAAGAAGAAAAGTTTATTGTCCAAACTGAGCATCTAGTCTTTTAGGATATCCATTCTGAAAGGTTATTTTTATGCATTTTGAAGAAATTTATCAACTCTTAATGTCTTAAAATTCTAAATTTTGTACTTGGATAATTTTGTAAGTTGAGTGCATGCAAGCAAGAAAGTAGAAGTACATGTGTAGTTTTCAGTGTTATGGGAAATACCTCTTAAATGTGAATCAAGATGGACTTACATCTTACAGATAAAAAACCGTCTTGAATAATGACTACTCAATGACCTGTAATGGGTACAGCTACTGGAGTAAGACTGGTATCTTAACAAGCATTGTAAAACAAACTTAAGTTTAATTGAAGCTCTTGACAGTATCACCTACGTATGACCAGCCACATTTTAAAATGTGCTGATTTTTAAAGCTCAGTTTTCTATAGACCAATTAAAGTGGGCTTACAGGTGCATTAGTGTTTCTGCTCTTTCAGCGCTGCATGTTTTTAGTTAGGCGGGGAATATCCCCATGTATTTGACAGGAGTTTACGAAAAATTATTTTACAACTTTCTCCCATCCCCAAGGCAGAGCAGTCTTATAAAAAGCAATCAGATTAAAATCTTATTTAGCAAGCTGGTATTTTGTGCATATAAAACAATCCACAACAAGGTGCTGGCCAGCTATGCTGCATACGACTTCAATTCCACAGCATGAATGCCGTGGGTTAACCTAGACTACATTCAGCATTAGCCTGAGAGCTGAACTACATAAAACCAGCCACAGACTTCTACGTGTAGATGTCTTGCTTCAAACCTGAAGGTGAAGCGCTTTAGCCTCTGCAGTTTAAATAAACTGGGTGGTGGTGCTAGGGTTGGTCAGAAAAGCATACATCCCTTTGAGTGCAACACAACCACCCTAAAGAGCAATGAATATTGTGAAGCAATACATGGCAAGAGAGAATTTCTGAATTATATACTGCTTTATGAAACTACTGGCTTATAATGTTCAGGTTGTACTACAGGAAAAAATACCTAAGATTACGAAAAGCTGACTGGGAAGCAGATCCTTGCTCTTACACCTGCTAAACTTAGCAAGAAAAAGCCCCAGCATTCTTGGTAACAGCTTTCTATTTAAGGCACTAACTTCATTACTACAGAAACATTATTCTATAAATGATTGACAGTCAATGGTCCTGTGACTACAAAGTAAAGCTGCTTTTCTACAGTCTTCCAAGCGGCCTGGACTACATAAAGATAATAAAAATATTCCCCTTCTAACTATATGTAAACTTAAATCTTAGAGGGTAACACACCTACTGTATATAGAAACTGCTTTAGGTTAAGTTAAATATTGTTTTCTGTTGCTAATTGCATTGGGGTTTTTTTAGGCTACTAACACTACTTAATTTTTAGCTGGGTTATGTTAAAGCTGCGAACATTTAAGTGTTTCAAACTCTCCTGCACAGATTAAAAGGAAATCTATTACATGAAACTGTAAAGTTTAGACTTCTCCAAAACAAAAAACCTATATAAGGAAAAACTAGACAGACTTTTTACAGTTCTCTGACACCCATCAAAGCTACAAGGTTTTCAGTTAGCAACTCAGACTGCTTTTACCTTAGAAGAATGACCACAGAACTCTTCAGGTCACTCCTGAAAGTAAAAGTGAAGTCCTTTTCTGCTTATTTTTATTATGTGCACATGAACCACTGTTCTCATACAGGAAGAATAACACCTGCTGTTACAGCCTATCTCCTCTATCAGAGAGAAATTATCCTTGGGACACACCTATGTTATAGGAACTCTCCACAGAAGTAAAGGGCAACATTTTCTCAGGGAATTAATTGTTTTTTTCAGGCATTTTGTTCTCACTGGGGATAAGCATCTCTAGGGTTTTCAGAGTGCTGTCCTCTATCACACAAGATGTTGTTTCTCAGTCCTCCTGCTGCAAGTTAGTTATAACAGCAGTCTCTCCTGGGCAGCAAACCTTGCAAAATACATCTCTCCCTTCCTCCCTACCACACTGCTTCAATAGGATCAGAAGGCTCCCTCCCACTCAGCCAATACTGAGGGCCAGCACGCCATTTTGCAGTGCTCCTTCGGTCAGAGGGGAAGGCGGGGAAGCAGCGGTAAGAATGCCCAGCCTGCCTCCAGCCAGCAAGCTGGCAAGAAGCTTCAGCTTCTGCCCCTAAGCAGTTTAAGGGACTTCCAAATACATTAAGAGGCTCAGAGGAGACGGGGAACTTTCTTCCCAGCCTTGACTAGCGACTTCCTCCCTCAAGCCACAGCCCTACGCAGCACCGCACGCCTCCATTTTGTGAGCTCTCTCTTCTCCTCCACCCTCAATATGGAGCCGGAGGGGCGGGGCCACAGGGAAGCGGGAACGCGCGCGCGCAGCAGCCCCCACCCCGCCAGCCACGTCCCAGCGCCGCCGCAGTGGTGCCATGGGAGCGTCCCGCCGCCCCCGCCCCAGCGCTGGAGGAGGGCAGGGAGAGGCCGGCATTGCGGGGGAGCACGTGGTTCCCTCCGCTCACCCTTTCTCCCGATCAAAATCAAACGACTGGTTCCTACGTCCTACCTAAAACCCCGAACACTCAGCGCGGTCTAACTGTACCTCTCTCAGAAGAGAGGAAGAAAAAATGGCAACTAGCAACCCCCACACGCACCCCGGGATTCCTGTGAAGATCCTAATCTTTGCAGAAATCCCAAGACCTTTTGACAACACTGCTGCAGATGTGCACTGCCTTTATTCCGAGTTCGCTGTAAACTAACTTTCATATGGCAGGGGTTTTGAATAATCAGCCTTCTGGAGTTGCAGTATTTCTCTCTAAAGGCACCGCTTTCAGGTGGAGTCTTCCCGTGCATCGTACCTCTGTGAACACCAGCAAGCGTCCACAAAACGCCTGGCACCACACCTAGGCTGCTCTGCAGCTAAACGTGTAAGATGAGACTGCTCCGTCCCCCAGACAGTCCAATCCTAGACTGCCTTCTGAAACAGGAAAGCTTACAGACAACTGGGCCTCATCCACTTTCTCCGTGAAACATTTTCTCTAGAAACTTAATAGCTTCTAAGTACATTCCAGGGCGAGCTACCTTTGTAAACTACAAGAGCTGATTTAGTAGGCAGCTGAGTGACCCCAGCTACATTCTATCCAAAGTCCAAAGCAGTGAGACAGTTGCAACATTCCTTCCAGAAGGACTTCAGGCACCATACTTCAATACAAAATAACCATACGCTACCAGATACATGCAACTCGGACAAGGTTTGTTCTTAATTCGAGGGTATAGGCCCTCCCACATTGCAGTAGTGTATCATTTCCCCCAAAGTTGGAACTAGCTAAAATATTCAGGCACCCTGGAAAAGTAATGTTAGAAAGCAAACAAATCAAAATAAACAATCAGAAAACATCTCAGTTATAAGCCATATAAGCATGTATAATACCCTCTTTGCTAATCTTAAAATTGAGTTTATTTTCTGAAGGGTAGCAAGACTTTTTCTCCCCCGCCTCCCATTTCCACACCCTGCCCCAAAAGTATCTAGCTCCCATCCTCCCAGAACAGCCCCAACATCTTCTCTATACTACGCACCTTATTCAGTCTACGGTATTTCTGCTAGAAGCAAAAGAAAACAGTTATTTTTACTTAGTACAGCCTCGCTTTCATTTGCAGTGACTATTAGGCAACCATTTTTTATTTTAAAAAATACAACCAAAAAAACCACCAAAAAAAAACCAAACAAAAAAACCAAACAAGAACCTGTCTTCATTCCCACTAAAAACAGGATTTTGAAGATAGGAAGGAATCAAGCTCCTGCTGATACTCTGAGGATGCATAAATTTCTTAATAAAAATAATTACACGTTGCTTTAATCACAAACATAACATTTAATCAGTTTTGTTGTAACAGAAAACTAGAAAAGCAAAATTTTCCCACTATGCTTAACACCCCACCCCTTAAAATTTCAAGTAATGCACTGCAATTTATAGTTACTCCGCTAGTATGGGGATGAAGAAGGTAGGAAAAAAAAAAAGCAAGCTAAGAATTAATACATCAGATAGAAATGGTTAAGTTGGGTTTTTTCAATCTTTTCCCCTTAAAGCTACTTTTTTTTAATAAAAAAAGCAATCCTCTCACCTGTGAGGATCGTCTTCCTTTCCTCTTGTAGTCTTCCACATCTCTCTCTTCCTTCAGAGCAGCCATTTTGGAAGGGTACTCTAACTCAGCCTTTCTTTTAGATCTAGGAAACCTAGAAAACAGGTTGGATAGGTCAGTACTTACCCCAATTCCTGTGAAGCAGGGCCTTCTCTGGCTGCAACACATGGGTGTGGCTTTATAGGAGAAACCGGGAGAGGGGTGAAAGTAGAAAAAAATGTAAGTATTTAAAAGGGTAGAGTAAAAATCCTCAGACTATTTTGCCCACAATTAAGAAATGCTGCAGAAGGAATATCTGCTATCCTAGTAAACGTCTTTGTACAACTGTTGGAATAACAAGGTACAAACTAATGCTAAAATCTGTAGAAAACAACCTATGTCCATTACTGTCTTACATAACTATCATGAATACAACTCATACAGGGCAAGCAAATTCCACCTTTGATACCCAAACCCGCTACATAAATCAAATTCTACTTCTCTGAATTTTAACCCCCAAAATATTTAACATTTTGCAAATATGGCTTATTAGAATTATCTTACAAGTAACCTATTGTAATCAGTGATCCAGCAGCCTGGAACTGGAACACTAGAGGATTTAACTAGTGTTAAATGTTTTCTGTATTGAAAAATATTTTCCGCTGACACCAGTGCAAGAATCTTTTACCGATTCTATTCTTGCAACATAAGAAATTTTACCAGTTGATCCTCAGCAATCTGTAGCACTAGTCATCTGCATTACTTTTGCTTCCAAGTGATGTATTTGATTACTACCCTGTACCCTCTACTTACATGCCTAACTTTTCACAGTGTTATCTACGTATCATTAAAAAAATCAATTATTTCACAAGCACAGTGAATTAATCCATATCTAAGCATTCAAACAAAAAACATTCCCTTTAGCCTTTATTATTTCAAGTTTTCTGAGATCATTAAGTTACTTGTCTTACTATACTGTATTAGTACCTTTGGCTACAATTCATCACTACTTTGGATGTTTCTTGAAACTTTATTACAGGAGCCAAAACAAAATACTGTCAACTAAATAACATGCTTCTGTAAAACTACACTTGTGCTGCATTAAAATCATTGATATTTACAAGATTAGGTATATTTTGGTGGGGTTTTTGTTTGTTTGGGTTGTGTTGGTTTTTTTTAAAGTTTTATCCCAGCAAATACTGCATAGGGAAAGGCAGGCAGGCCTCTATTAATGACCTCTATGTACTGTTATTCAGAGTGGAAATTATTATTTAATATAAATCCATGTTAAAAATCCAGCTTCAAATTAAACTCAACTGTGAAATCACGAGTACCATGATTTAATGCATTAAAAAATTTAAAGGTTTGTACCATCTTCAGTTCCTCTCTACACAATGTTAAACCTGCTCTTGAAATCCTTTAAATCAAACATCAGTTTGACTTAGGAGTATTAGGATACCAAGTATTTCAACTGAGCTGTTCAATTCCTGAAGTCATAGAGGGGAGGTATGAAACAGTATGTTAACAATTCAAGGGCTTTTAAAAAGTAGCTGTATGGGAAAATAAAACTTCGGGAATTGTTAGGGAGGAAAGGGATAAGCCTATTTAAATACTTTTCCTAAGTAATTAGAAGTATGCAATCCCTCTCCGATTTTGTCACCTGCTGCTTTCCCCAGTGAGGCTCCACGCTGGCCAACATAAAACTCACAGGCATGGTCTTTGCCACAATGGCCTCTGAAGGCCATGACGGTCAAAAGAGTTGTCTCCTTGCTAATGCACACCATTAGCTGAAGTGGAACACAATCCTGTTCAGCCCTATTCCTACTTTGCCTCATAGAAAGTGACCAAAAGTCAATATTAGCTTCTTTTATACTTAACATCAACAAAATAACTCTATTCAACTCTAAATATTCAGAATATTCTTATCAGCTGAGTTAAACTAGCATTGAAACAGCTGTATACTGCAACTTAACTACAGAACTGAAAGGAGTCTCAGAACAAATCTGTTGGTTATAATGAGAAGAAAGTCACTAGGAGATGCCTCATTACTCAAAGAGCTTATAATGCTACTGTATCTCTTACGGAGACAAGAAGATAATAGAGGCAAAACAGACATTCCCAAGATGGAAGTTTACCTGTCCATTCAGAGAATACTACAGAGATGTATTGGTCTTTTCTGTAAACAGCTGAAGTTGGACCTAACATGCATACAGTATATCGTGCCAAACCTAAGAGTTAAAGCAGCAAAACAATAGATTTTCAGCTCTAAGTGCGTTGGCAGTTTATTCCCAATGCCAACAGGAACGTCTGCTGGGAAAAACCCAAGATATCAGCTTGATAACTTACGTGATGGGTTTCCAAGCTTTACTGAAGCATGTTCAAATGCTTTGAACTCATTAGCCCTCCCAGTTGTCAAAACTATTCAACAACCCTGAAGCAACTAAAACAATTGCTTACATGGAAAAGTTATTTTTAGCTGTTTTGCCAAGGGATCCAGTTTCTTCTGTGCTTTTAATGTAGGAACAGAAACTAGCGTGACCTTTTGGTTTCTCCGTTCTCAATTTTATAAGGTTTCAGCTTGCAATGAAGGGGGTCAGCATAAAAGAAAAAAAACCAAACACACAAAAAACCTGCACCATTTTTGCTCAACATACTTTACTTGGAATACTTGAGCAAAAAACCCCTAGGTTTTGAGAAGAGAGGAAAGAAAACCAAGGGGGGATATCATGACAGTATTTCCCTCCAGGTAGGCTGTGGATTATTGCCCTAGTCTGCATATGATCTCTACTTCATTCAAGTTGAGGAAAACTGGAACCAAGGTTTGTGCAGGACTGCTTCCTCGTGTTGCCCACCAGGATCGTGGTGGGATGCCACCAAATATCGCGGCTCTTGTGCATGTGCGGTTGGGGGAGTGGATAAAGGGAAGGGAAATGGAGAGAACTTTGCACAACGCCTTCCCCCACCTCGCCGGGCAGCAAAAGCTTGCTACATGTGCTAACTCCCCTCGGGAAGGGGGTGAGGGGGAAGGGATAGTAGGGGGGTGCTGCAATGTGTACAAGCATTCCTCAGCGTATCACACTAAGCGACCTTAATGCTTTAAAAGTCTGCTCCCACGACAATGAATGGGGAAAAAAATATCCCCAGCACACTACTCCGGGTAGCTTACGTGGGGAGCCACACAGGGAAGACAGAACAATGACACACCCACGTATGGGACTCGCTTCTCCCCACTCTCGCCCGAATACGCACCTAAGTGCTTCTGTGTCCCCCGGTACAGCTGAAGGGGACTCTGCTACCCACAGCCCTGTCCCAATCCGAGGGCCAGGCCTCTCCCACCCACACTCTGGAGCGCAGCGAAATGGCGGCCGCAGTCGCTGTGCCCGAGGGGCCGCTCGGCGGAAGCGCAGCCTCTCCCGCATTCTCCCTCTTCCTGCCAGCGGCCGCCATTGCGGGCTAATGCGCCATGTCGCAGTGAAAAACGGGTCTGGAACGCGGCAGAAACGCTACAAAGAAGCGGCGGCCGCTCCAGGGCGGCAGCGGGAACCGCGAGGGGCACCATTACGTGCCGCCCTCCAGCCCGCCGCGCCCAGGGCTCCCCCTTCCTCCCCGGGGGCTCTGGCGGAGTTAAAGCAGCTCTACCTCCGCGGGGGGGGGGGGGGGGGGGGCCCGCCCCGCCTCCCCTTCCATCCTTGCCTCAGCTTAGCCTAGCGAGTCCCGCTCCCTCCACGCGGCGGGCAGTTACCTCCATTTTGTGACCAGACTCGCCTCCTTCAGTACCAATATGGAGCCGAAAGGAAGAGGAGGGGGAGGGGCGGAGGAGGGGTCACGTGGTGGGAAGGCGGGCTCCAGGCACCGCGCGACAGGCCGGGAGGAGGAGGGAGGAGGACGGGG